ATTATTAGTATATTTACACATATTGCGGTTTTGCATCACTTTTGTATAAAAATTTAATTGTTTACTTGCGTGCGATTAGCACGATTAGCGTAGCAATTAGCAGCTGGTTTTGATTTCACCACGAAAGAAATAGAACAAATCAGCTTTCTATCACGAATTACAAAGAATAAAACTTTTTTGGAAGAATTTTGTGCCAAAATAGCACAAATCCCCCGTTAGGGTCTTACGGTTGATCTTAAGACTTTTAACGATCTTTGCCAGAATTGCTCTGCAAATACATAATTTTTTGGATCGTATGCAATTGTCACTCATTGTCTATATCGGAAATTTAATAAAGTTCCTATAGTTCCTACAGATATACGGGCAGAAGTAGTTCTAAGCGAACGGTCAAAAACATTAAGCTCCGTTGGCAAGGTGTAGCAGATAATCTTGAAATATTAACGCAACGAAGTTATTAACGATAAAACTATTTCTTTGAATTTACCATATATTATAAAACATCAAAAACGTTTCGATAGTATCTTAATAAGTCAAATTGTTTTGTTTTACAAATTCTGAGTCTCTATCTTTAAATTATTATTATTAAATTAAATTCTGTTGTATGAATTTTGACATAATTACATGGAATATTTATAGACCAAATGTCTTGAGAAAATGCTGTTGATGTGAAAATCGGAATAGAATAATAGTTAAGGATGTTTTCTTTCAACTGGTGCAATCAGAGAATGGCAACTTATAGCTTTAGCAACTTTTAAAATTTAATTCACGAATACAGACTCTTTTCTGTATGAGTACCTTAAAAAGAAGGAAACCACATAAACCAATCATGGTTCTTAATAGACAATATTCGAGCCACATCTGTATTATATCGTGCATATTGTAAGTTACTTCTAAATATAGACACTTAGTCAATAAGTTTCCCTTTAATTTCAGAAGTATTGTTAAAAAAATGATCACATTTGAAGTAAAGAAGAGCTAAGAGTAATTTATCTGCTACCGATGCTCTTCATTTTAGTTGTTTTAATGGACTTGCAAGAATATAGAGCCGTTCTTGTTCAAAAATGAAAAAGTGTGGAATATCACTGTCAATGGCCACGGAAACAGGGTCAGCATTAACGATATATTATTTAAAATGTGAGTGCATTGTCGAAAGAAATTCACTCTTTAGGGCTCTTTAGAGATCATAGAGTTATTAAAGCAAGTATTTGATGATTATATTGTTTTTAGAATTGGTGCATGGTCTCCTTTGTTGGCAGCATTGGTGTATGTGGACAGGTAAACAATTTTAGCTTTGGAAACACTGTGTGCACCAGTCTTCGTGAACAGTTTTAAATTTTGAAAAAAATTTGTAAAAGATTGGGAGTTCAAGAATGTGATTTAGAAGTTACTTCCATGAAATGCACTGACTAATACTTTTTAGTGATTAATGTTATGTAATTATCTATTGAAAAACATATTTGACTTTTGTTTATTTTTTTCTTACAATTTCAAATCTTAACCCTCTTCAACAAACACCCTATATAATAGAAAGCAGAGTTTTATTCTTCAAAAGGAGTTGTGCAATCGCAAGCATTTTTATTTGAAAGCTACTTCCTATCAGCTTAGATACGTTTGTTTTGATATATCATATGGCTTTTGATACTTTCACAATCAAATGTATAGTTCCGTTAAAAATTACATTTAAATTGCAAATTGTATACTTTATAAAAATGTCTGCTGTATGGAGAAAAAACATTTTAAGCACTTGTTTGAAGTTTTCAACGGAAAGCGTTCTGTTAGAATTCTAGAATTCAACTAATTCAAGTATCATTGCTCTGAAATATTCAATTACAGTTTTGAATTGAATTTCAAATAAAACGTTTTATGCATTGTTAAAGTCAGTCCTTGGAATTAATTGCAGTACGTAGGCTGTCTTTAAAGTCTTGCGCCTAGACAACACTATGTATTGCTAGATGAATTTTGACATTTTTTTTCGAAAGTTTGACATTTCGTGCAATGATTTTTTACAATTTTCGATGGGGTTTAACTAGAAAAGAATATATTGATCAACTGAGTTGGACATTTGGTGATAAAACACCACTTCCAGTGGTTAAAAAACGTTGGCTCGAGTTAAATAGCGTGGTTGTCGTTTTCGCCACAAAACAATGCAGTGCGAGAAGTGATTACATACCGGAAGATAAAGGCATCCTTGAGCATTAGTGGGACCAATATACATTCAATATTAAATAAACATTTAGCTGTTT